CCATATTTTTAAATGTGCGTTGCTCTGTGAAGCATATAGGATAGGGCAGGTTTCTATGTACATTTCACCTATCCATCTCACATCCCTCAGCTTCTTTTGGCAGAAGTCTTAAGTTCAAGGGTGCCAAAACCTGCTTATTCAGTATAGCACAGTGGTTATTAGGACTACTAACCTTCTACCTTTAGGAATCACACGAGAGTGATTTGTGTTCTGTAACACAAAGCCAAGCAGACTTCCAGAACAGTATATTTACAGCATGTAATAAAGGGACTGATCTAAAAATAAAACAACCCCCTTTTATGAAGGATTAGGTTATTTAGGTCTCTTTCCTTCCTTTCTTTCACAGAACTTCCTTCCTCATCAGTTTCTTATGATTCCTCCACTTTCACATCACCTCCAATAACCCTGTGTAAGTAATGCTCTTTCCTCACCTACAGAATTTAAGGTCTCCATGCACTTTTTAAAATCTGGAATGACAACCAGGATTTTAGCAGATGACTAATTGCTCCTAGTTTTGACTTTATTTAGGCAGGAGGTTCAGCTGACAGCTTCCCACAAGCCTTCACAGAATCACAGAACAGCCGAGGCTGGAAAGGACCCCTGGAGGTCATCTGGTCTGACCCCCTGCTCAGGCAGAGTACAAGCTTTCAGAAGAGAGTTCAGGCCACTTGGTATCAAACGCACCTAATATCATGTGCCTCTTCCACAGTAAGTAAATAACTCTTTTCAGGTAAACTACATTTCTCCCATCCCTGAAACTAGGTGATGCGCAGTGCTAGACCGGTTTTATTTTGCTTGGATGAGAAGTAAACTAACAATTACATCCATATTTCACATCCGCACCCCATTGTTCCAGGATTGTATAACTACAGTGATTTTAACATATATTTGGAAGCAGGTGTTGTTAATGTTTTTTAATCCTTCTTTTAGCCTTCCTTTTTACCCTTCTTTGTTAAGCCTCTTCTTAAAAGCGTTACAGCTTTTGGCTTTAGCACAGGAAGGTGCTAAAGAAGCAAACTTGGAAGAAGCAAAAATACAAACTGCCTATTAGGTGCTACCATCTGCTTGCCCTGACAAGAGAAAAGATTTTCTTGACCTAATATAACAGCATGCATCACCTAGAATCGCAGGTACTTAAGCAGGATTAAAATGTAATATGCAGTAACAATAAGAATGATCTAAGGCAGAAAATACTTGGATTGTTCGATACATTGTTTCAAAACCATTATTTTACTTTGTATTAGTGTCACAGAGCCCATTTCTTTAAAGCAGATATTGTCCTGTGCTACACGTCCCTAGCCATGCATAAGGACTGCCCTGCTTAGAACCTGCCCACCTCCTGCCCAAAGACTTCCCTACAGGTGCCTGTTGATTGTCTGCAAAACTGTGCAGGAAAAACTACTGATATTTTATAAAGGACTGTATTAATTAAGCATTGTAACTGAATGAACAAAGACTCTTAGCAATGCTTCCTACCTAGGGAACTAGAAAAATTCCCTATTACATGCCAAATCAACATAACTTTTCTTACCAGGAATAGAGTCTACACTTGGTTTCCTCTCTCAAAATCCAGTAACGTCTCCCAACTTTGCAGCAGACTTTAACAATCAGGATTCTCCATGTCTTTTACTACCAAGACAATGAATGCACAGGACAGAGAGACAGAGCATGATGGACATCACTGTAAAACACAAACCTCAGCACTAAAGAACCGCACAGTTCTTACTATTACCATTGTGTCATGCTTTAGGAAGCTTACATTTTTGAAGAAAACCGAAGGATTCAGACAAACACTTAATTAACTGTGGTGAATTAAAATGAAACTATTGTTCCATTATTGCTATTGAAGGAAAAATACAAAACTACACATGGAATCTCCTATTCAAAAGTAAAAAGTAGTGTGAAGTCTGATAGTAAAATAGAAAGAAATAAATGAAATATAAGAAAGTCATAATACTCCCAACCTCTCTGGATCTGTGCTCAAACAAGATCAGGAGCAGACAATTAAATTCTTCACTCCTCCCATTCTGAGAAAGCAATGAAAATCGTCAAACCCACGAGCCATAACATTCCCTAATCTACAGGGGCTGGGAATATAAATTATATTTGCCTAAGGCTGGTCCAGCAGAGCATGCTTTTTTTTTGACTGTCATATCCAGTTAAGAAAAGCAATATGCTTACAATGGAGCTTGTCAATTTTTGACTAATAAACCTGATCTCATCAAATTTTTAACTGACTCAACTTGTAACAGTTATTTGAAATCTATAGTACATCTGTGCATGACCTATTTTCCTTTAAAATGATAAACAGTAAAACAGATTGCCAAATACAGCCAAACCCCCAAAAGCACTCATCAGTGACTCAGTTCAGTTAGTTTGGACTATTATGATACAGAATTTGATACTGCCAGCTTTTATACTCCGACAGGTATTAACCTGATGAATGGCAAATAGGCCTTGAAGAGTTTGCCTGCACTGGGGCATGTCAGTATCCAAGAGCTACACACACAAGCTTGGGTTGAGGGAGGTTTTATGCAGATCTTGCTGGCTTGGCAAGGGTGGGTTACCTTCTGCTCACTTCATAGAGCTGCCACTACTGAACCTGAACTGCTGCGATTCCACGTGCCACTTCAACAACACTGATGATGTGCAAACAGACTAGTCAATTAGGTTTTGCATCAAGTAGCCGTGTTCAGTCTGGTGTTCAGCCTGTAGCTGGCATGCACAACAGCACTTTAATTTTATTTTCCTTTCTGAAAATCAAAAAGCAATACAACAAAACACCATTCGGGTGCTACTGCAGTTCAAGCTTTAGGATATCGCCAATGTTTGTGTTTATTCTAGAGCAGAAATTCAAGCTTGCTGTGCTGGAATTACAAGAAATATAGAAAATACAAACAAGTCAGACCTCTTCCAGCATCTCAAGAACAGAACAGCTGGCAAAGACCTCACATAATTTCAAGGAATGATAGATTCACTATTTGTTTGCTTTCTTCCCTCCCCTGTATATGCTTTCCTTCCTCTGTATGGTGGTAAGACTTGAAGTTTTTGGCATGCTAATTGGAGAACATATTAATCCAATTACAATGCTACAGGATTTTCTTAAGAGAGCTGTATCGGTCATGGACAGATGACTAAGTAATTATGACTTTTTTCCCCTTTTATTTTACTGAGAAAGCATGGAAGTGGCATTTTAATGGTGACATTTGTTTTGCTTTATTCTTCCAGTGAAGAGCAATGACAAAGGTCACTCTTTCAATGAGTATTTGAAGACATAGGAAGTAAATTTTTGCTTTCAGTTATTAACTTAAACAGAGTTGTGAGAGTATACACTGCATTTACACTGTTGTCCAGCAAGTCATTTTGTCTTTGTTTTAAGCCATAAAAGAGTAAGATCATTCCTTCCATAACATTTCAGAAGTCACCGCAAATTATCATTAGTTTACCGAATTTTTGCTTCATCTCCTTTCCCCACCATCCTCACTCCAGCATTTCTTGGTATTTTTTTTAGCCATCTCTGAATTAATCACCAAATCATGGAAAAGTTTTGGGTTGATTTCACATTTATTTTATTACCACAGATCCAGCATTTCATTCTGCAATTATTTCACATTTCCTTATAGTGGATTACATGATGGGGAAAGTCCTCAGGCACTATATTACTATTATAACTTTCACGCGTATCTTTTTTGAGTGAGACCCCCTTGATGCAGCAAGTGCTGTAGCCTCTCCCTTCTTATTGCATGTTCTGGAGTGCCTGGTTCCTAACTCCCAGTGCCTTTACTGGATGTAAAGGTCTTCAGGTTCCCTTTCTCATCAAACTCTCCAGGTGTGCTCCAGAATTGCTTTGAAAACAGAAGTTTCCAAATCAAAGCTTAAAGGACACACAGTTGAAAGCCTAAAAAGGAGGAGGCATTAGAAGACCTACAAATCATACTTCTTCATTAATGCAAATCAGCTACACTTGGCATATAGAGTCACTGGCTGGAAGACTGCAGTAGTTGATGTATTAGGTACCTAAGGAGAAGCATCAAGTGCAAATTGATTATGAACCTCAGGGTGCACAACATAACCAATACATTTGAAAGGCCGATTCATGTAATGCTGAGTTTAAACTGTATTTTAAGACATCATGAGAGAACACGGGGGAAGTCTGCTACTTCTTCTGGTAATTATCATTCCCTACAAACAAGAAGCATAAGTTTCATTCAGAAAAAAGTACTTCTGGCCCCATTTTGAGAAGTAGTCGAGGGCTGCTCTGCTTGTATTTGCACGGTATACATAACCTTAGAAGCTAAGTCCCATTATCAAAAGCTACTTAGGGACAGTTCTGAAAAGCATTTGATTCTACGAAATGCTTTTGGAAGTCAGACAATTCCCTCTATGAATATGGACTCTGATCACATTTGAAAATGGGACTTTATAGCAGTTTGTTTTAATAAGTAGTAGAGTATGAATATCCCTTTTCACAGCACAGGGACCTTCTCTCGGAAAGCTTCAGCCACCGTGAGGCATCAATGACAATGTCATAACTGTTAAAGAACTAAATTACAGCATTTCCCTCTCTTACAAATGATGATGACTGAAAGGTAGCCAAGAACTTTACCACGGTTCTTGCAGATGAAAAGAGTACCTGCTGCTTAACTACTACTGGAGTCAACTACCCCACACATGCAGGCAGCACTCGTCTGGGTGATGGGAGAAGCAGACGGTCCACACTGGGAAAATGAGGCCTATTGCACCTCGCATCAGCGGGCAACCCTGGCCCACTCGCCCTCAGGGGCTCCATGACTGCTGATTTTCAGCAAGGCGACCTCTCTCAGCTTTGATCAGGGTAGTGAGAGGAAAGCCCACTCCAGGGAGAGCCTGCAGCCCACCCCCAGGCCCCGTGCCACCTCCTACCAGACCTTGACATGCCAGGGCAGAACCGCCCCTGGCCCGTGCCCTGCTTGCCCCTGGCCCGTGCCCTGCTTGCCCCTGGCCCACTGGAGCCCCCTCACCTTCCACCAGCTCTACCAGGCTGGTAAGCTTCTTGCTGCCATCGATGGTGTAGATGGTGCGGACGCCCTGGGGCAGGTTCACGTTGTCCGACAGGGACCGGGTGAGCTCGACCAGGAGGGCGTCGAAGGAGCGGAAGCGGTCGGTGGAGATGGCGTACACCAAGCCCTTGAAGTACCTGTCCCCGTTGCGGTAGAAGCGGGCTTTCCGGGCCTTCTTCTCCGAGCTCAGCGCCTGCAGGGTCCGCGTCCGGTAGAGGCTGCAGTGG